AAAAAAAAAAAAAAAAAAAAAAAAAAAAAAAAAAAAAAAAAAAAAAAAAAAAAAAAAAAAAAAAATAATAATAATAATAATAATAACATATAGTAATGATAATATAAGACAGAACAAATAACCACAAAAATACATAGACAATAACAATAATTATAATAATAAAAAAAAATAAAAAAATAAAAAAATAAAAAAAAATATATCAATAACATACCGACAACCATATTAACTTCCGTACATATTATCCTCTTCTTCGCAAGCATGACACAAGCCCACTATCCCATGTTCAAACACATAGCACAGTTTAACCTATCACGAAACATCACAACTGATGAACCTCCCATGCTTCAATCTGTCAACGAAACAATCACCAATGCTCTCCTACCTCTCATACCCTTAACAGATATCGAGTCAACCTTACTTTGGCAACTCGACCCTGCGCATTTTAATATCCAAACGCCTATAAACATCCAAGCTCTTCACCTTCTTACACAAACGTATCCCAACCGGCCGTTTATCAGCTATATCATCAATGGCATTCAACAGGGTTTCAGGTTTAATTTCAAAGGCCAATAAAACCGGTTAATTCAGGACAACCTACAGTCAATAAACCTGGCACCCAAAGCTTTCACAACGTATATTTCGGAAGAACTTACCAACAAACGCATCTGCGGCCCATTTCATATAGACAACTTTCCTTGCAACCTATTCCAGGTCAATCCTTGCGGCCTTGTCGAGAAGAAAGACACCAACCCCAAGAAATACCAGGTTATTTCCCACCCATCTTCTTCCCCAGAAAACAGCATAAATGACAGAATCGACAAACTCGAGTTCTCCATGAAGTACGAAAACGTAAACCACGCTATACGTTGGATCAACCACTTCGGCAACAGGTGCTCATTGTAAAAAATCGATATCAAAGACGCTTACAGAATCCTTCCTGTTCACCCTGTCGATCAAATTCTTCAAAGCTTTCGCCATGGCACCAACCTATACTTCGATAAGGTACTCGTCTTCGGCAACCGCGCTTCCGGCGGCATTTTTTGTCGCTTCGCTGACACCATCGCTTGGATTGCCTCCCAACAAGGCATTCCAGCTATAATCCATTACGTTGACGATTTTCTTATCATCTCCCCTACTGACGGTAATAGAGAGCTTCAACAATTTTTGTGCATTCTCAGCATCCTCAATGTACCTTACAAGCTCGAAAAACTAGAAGGCCCGTGCACAAACGTAACTTTCTTAGACATCGAGCTAAATACACAGATCATAAAAGCATCAATTCTGCTCCCAAAGCGCGAAAAATTAATTAGCTTAGTCCGCTAGTGGTCAAACAAGAAATAGTGCTTTCACAAGAAGCTTCAATCAATCGTAGGCTCCCTAGTATGGGTATGCCAAATTATACTACAAGGAAGACCATTCATTCAACGCCTCATTAAAGCCCAAGAAATAGCCAACAACCCAAAGTTCCATATTCGTATTACCAAACCCATGGCCTGCGATTTTCAATGGTGGTTAACCACCTTACAGAGCTGGTCCAGTATACACCTACTACAAGACCAAAAATAGAACCAGCCTACCATCCTCAACCTCTTCACAGACGCATCCAACATAGGCGGAGGGGCAGTATACCGCAACTACTTCACTGCTTTTGCATAGGCCAATGATATCGACCTCAACAAAACCAACATCCAAACATGCGAACTCCTAACTACACTCATTGCCATATGCACCTTCGCCCCAATATGGGAAAGAAACAAGCTCATAATTTGGACCGACAATCTCTCAAATGCGAAAGCATGTTACGCCAGATACTGCAAAAATCCCAATATCAATGAACTGATTGCTCTAATATACAATTCACAAGTTCAAGGAAACTTCGCCATTAAACTCGAACACATACCCGGCATACACAACTATGATGCAAACTTACTCTCAAGAAATGGACACCAAGAGTTTATTAGAGACAACCCACATGCCCGTTACCTCCAACTCAACATCCTGGACACATACAAAATACTAACCTTGATAATTCTATCTTTAAAACAATAGGGTGTAGCAACACGCACCCCACCCCATCACTGCCACCCAACCCCATCGAAACCAACTTTTTCGGAACTATACCCACCCTCGAGACCCAAGCTGCACAGCTATTCAACATACCAACCCCCTCCAGAAAAGCCTATGAGGCTATAATTAAGTGATACAAAAATCTCGCTATCTCTAACCGATGGACCAATAGCAACAGATTAGTGTGGCCCATATTCACACAATCTCTTATCAAGTATATTACCTTTCTCTACACAAGCGTCACGCCCTCCACTATTACTACATACCTGTCTGCCCTAAATTATCACCACAAAAGAAACCACCACGATTGGACCCAGGTCCGTCATGACCCTCTCATCACACAGCTACTCAAGACTATCGAAGAAACACACTTCCACCAACCAGTGAATCAGAAAACTCACATTATCCGAAATCATTTCACACAAATAAAACAGCAACTTAATATGACCAACAAAACTGACCTCCTATTTTGGGCAATAGCCCTTTCAGCATTCTACGGCTTGGCAAGACTAGGAGAGTTATTACCAAACAACCAATCGGACGCCAACAAAGTTCCTACTCTGAAAGCATTAAAATTCGAGAAAACCAATAACAGCTCCTTCGCAACTATCCAACTACCCTGGACAAAAAGCCACAAATCCACTGTCCACCCCTTCTTAATCATACATCCTACCAATGAAGTACTATGTCCCATATGTGCTATAAAAGCATACGCCAGCATTCACACTCTACCAATTTATACCCCCAATAGTAACATGCTCTTCGTAAAGGAGAACAACTCCTGGGCCACTAAACGCTGGTTTATAACCAAACTCAAACAGCTACTTCCCAACGAGGATGTGGCAGGACACAGCTTCCGGGCACGCGGAACCACCGAGCTTGTCACACGTGGTGTTCAACTAATCTTAATCCAAAAAATCACCAGATGAGATTCTGAATCGTTCTACAGATACATACGCAGCCACCTAGCAATGATTGCCTCAATTCTAACAAAAGCATACACCAATTGACCTGCTTTATCACTCTTGGAATAGGCAGTCCAATGGGTGTTATTTCACATGCCCAGAAACACAAAAAAAAAAAAAAAAAAGAGAGAGACAAGAATAACAATAGCAGCAATACATTGACACATACAAACAAAAAGAAAAAAGAAGAAAAAAAAAAAAAACACAACTCCAAAACTAAAATACATAAAAAAAAGAGGTGAACAGCAAAACAATGACGCCGAACGAGCAAGACAAGTAGCCCCGCATGGCACCAACATCAACCAACCGACTTAGCCAACTGCCTCCCGCAGCAACGAGCTTCGAAAGTCAAAGAACAATCAGATGGACAATGAGTGTTGAGGGTCAAATAAAAAAAAAAAAAAGAGAGAAACCTCGGTGCAAAACGGCCAAATCAAAACATTACCCTTGGACAGCCACCTGATTCTGCCATTTTATAGCCGGCCTGCTTCAGCAGGCGGGAAACCACCGGCTGATAATCACATTGACATTGCTCAACTATTTTCTATCTGGTCTGTTACAGTGACTTTTAGCCCTACTCTTTCGGGAAATCACTGTTTCAGCACCTATAAATGTATATACTGTATTACCTCTATACTCTTATACTGCTTACCTAATAAATAAATCTCCAGCTTCTTAAGTAACTGGCATACAGCCATAAATAACTAGTGCAGGCTAATGTTTTTCATGCTAGTTGACTAGAGTCAACTGATCGAAAAATAAGACTGGGCACAATTACACACTATAGCACCAACCCCAATCAGTACACATGAACCAGCTCCGTTAAGCACATAACGATCAGAGCCATTTCAAGCATTCAAGCATGAAAAACACATGCATGCCCAGCATCACTGATGATTGACAACCACAAAATCGTGCGTACAACAAATCAGACCAATTATACGAAGGCCCAGCATCACTAATGATCGGCAGCCACAAGACTGCGCATAAAGCAAATGTACAACAAGCCACCAACCCCTTTTCATATAAATACATGAAACATCAGCTATGATAACTCTCACCCAAAATACAAGGAGAAATTAATTTTTTGCCCTACCTAGCCCGCTTTCGACAGTGCGAGGACAGCCACCTAATTCCGCCATTTTACAGCCGGCCTGCTTCAGCAGGCGGAAAACCACTGGCTGATAATCATGTTGACATTGCTCAACTATTTTCTACCTGGTCTGTTACAGTGACTCTCAGCCCTACTCTTTTGGGAAATCACTGTTTCAGCACCTATAAATGTATATACTGTATTACCTCCATACTCTTATACTGCTTACCTAATAAATAAATCTCCAGCTTCTTAAGTAGCTGACATACAGCCATAAAATAACTAGTGCAGGCCGATGTTTTTCATACATCACCTGTGTATAAATTGTAATCTAAAAATTAATATAAATTTATTTGTCATTTGTTACAGAGTAATTTTACAGAAATTGTTAACTCAGAATAGCTAATCATTTGGCTGTTCCTGCTAAAAGACTATAAATTCAATTTAAAGACATTAATTTATATTGTTAAAAAAATTTTAGATTGATCATTAAATGCTTATCAAGGTGTCATCCAAATTAGCAGATTAAATGCTAAAGATATTTATTTTGTTAATTGTAACTAGTTGTAATTATAAAGATTGACTGATATAAAGATAGACTACAAGTAAAGTTTTTAGTAATTGTGATATAACCAATTAAAATGAATAGAGGCATACTATAAAATAGGTAGCTAATAAATCAATTTTTATGAGAAATTGTTAATTAGGCAAAAAAGATTATTCTTTATATACATGTAAATTCTATATTAAATTTTTACAATATACAAAAAAAACAAAAAAATAAACAATAGCATGCATATAAACTAACACACGTCAAAAGGTTATGATTTTTCTTTAAAATATAATTAATATACAAAAACTTCTAAGTGTGTGCATTATATTAAGATAATATTTGTGTACCTATTTTCGAACAACAATATTCACAAAATCTTGAATTTCTGTCAAATCCATATCGAGTACAACTTGAACAAAAGATACCTCCACAAGTTTTACAGTGAATTTTTCTCTCTGAGGCAAGAAAAAGAGAAACAATTAGCTTTAATTAAATATAGGAAAAACTAGTACAAGTAACAAAAAATAATCACCTAATACTGCGAATTTTACGGTACATTTCAAGCAATTGTCAGTTTGTCCATCTTGCATCCAATGAGTTTCTGTTTTTATATCTGGTAAGTTCCATGAATAAACTTTTCCAGATGAATCTCCGCTATAAAGAATTTTTTGATTTCTATAATTTGAAAATTTGATCAAGTATGATAGTTTTTTTTTAGAATGCAAAACAAATATCAAATAAGTAATAAATGTTAAAATTACCCAGCTGGAAACAAAGCAACAATATCTGCTGCGGGTGCAGGTGATAATGGTTCGATTCTATTTTCATGTTTTAACTGATGCCGCAATTCTAAATTCCATTTACACGCTGTAAACAGGATTAATTATGACTTAGACAAAATTATATTAAAGTAAATTAAATTAAATTAATCATGAATTTCGCACTTTTATTACCAGTTAAATCTTTATTGGTTTTCAAATTTTTATTCCATATCTAAATTTAACAATCAATTAATAAAACTTGTAAACTATTACTTAAGATATTAATAGATAAACATGCCTTTATTACACCCTTTTTGTGTCCAGTAATAATAATGTCATTATCGAACCATTCATTTTGCTTGCCCTAAACATTAGGTGCAAGTTAGTTGCAAAATTAACCAGTTGTTTAAAAAAAAAAAAAATCAACATTACCTCGTAGAAGACGCAACAAAGAATTGGGTCCGGTATTTGTGCAGTATTTTTAGTAATTAAAAGGTCTCCATTGATGCTCCATAAACGAATAATTGACCCACTGCATGTTGCAATATCACCCTATAATAACAATATTAATATTATCGATAAATAATATTTTAAGTTGCACAAAGATTTTACTTACAGTTGTATCATTAATGGCGACAAACTAAAGGTTTAACAGAGGTTAGGTTTAGAACATGTATATAGAAAGTTCATAATATATATTACATAAATCTCAACATTATATACCTGAACACCAGTTTCATGACCCTGCAACTGTCTCACATATTTCATTCTATTCAAATCCCATATTATGCAAGTCTTATCCTGTAAAAGCAGTTAGAACATTAATATCTCAAAACTATCTTATTTCTTAATTTTTATATTTATACATACATCTGACCCACTTATGATGATACTATAAGATCTAGAATTAGTAACACAATTGATCTTTGCAGAATGTCCTCGTAAGCATTCCATAAAACCACATTCTGGCGATTTAGTTTGCCATTTAAATCTCCAAATACAAATAACCTAATAAGAACATAAAAAAGTTAGTAATAAGTTTTTTTTTGTTTAACACGAAGATAGACTAGTATTTTGATGTAAAAAAAATTTACCGCATCAGTTCCTCCAGTAATAAACGTTCTTCCGTCTGCAAAGCAAGCACAACTTACTGTTTGCAAATGAAGGTTTTCATATAGGCCTACCAACTATCAAAAAGAAGTATAATAACTCAGTTGGCGAATGCAATGTTTCATCAACAAACATTTTGACGAACCTTTTTAGTATCTGTTTGATGAAGTCGCAGACTGTTATCAGAGTAGCCCCACTCAACATAATAATTATAATTTGGCGGAATTAAAATTTTTTGTGTGCTAACAGCAAGCAACCGATCACTCGACATACGTATATCATGAACTTGAAATCGAATATCTTATATATTTAAAATTTTGGTTTGATTAACATCTGTAAAGCAATAGAAAGGTTGATATATAGATAAACTTCATTACCAAGCAAAGGGGATATTGAGTTTACTAGCATTTCCACACTTTCGTTAAATTTGTAATTATTTGAATCATTTGTATCGGAAGACCTTGCTGGGTGAGGTTTCGTGAACAATTGACGAGGCGTCTGTCCAAAATTATGAATAATTCCAGTTGTAGCCGATCTTTCGACTGGGTCACTGATGGCATCCAAATCTTGTCAAAATTGCAATATACAATGTTAGCGTACAATTTTTTCTTTCTGGATGCCTTTATTAATTTAAACAAAATTTGATATTTACCAATGGCTCCTTCATAAGAAAGATGATGAAAAACATTTACTGCATCTATAGCCGGTTGTCCTTGTTGTTTGTATCCGAATACTAAATCTATCCATTCATGAAGGTGAGCGCTAACATAATCACATTCAAGAGCCTAAAATTTAAAGACGATAATTAAATCTTATGCATAATTAATTACAATTATGTCCGATTAATAACTAACCTGACGATGCTTATGTATGAATATTTTAGGATCTCCATATGCCCAAGGTGGAAGAATGACCGAATCAATTACTTCACCTGTTCCTTGTTTGACACCTAGTTATCGAGTATACAAAAAATAATTAGTTTGGATCTATAAATCTTGTATTTAAACTTAAATATATTACCAAAATTAAATTTATTGGCGTTTTCCAGAAACTCTGGCAGATAAAAAAATTCAGGTATCAATTCTCTAACATCGCTCATGTTGTCTTTGGTAGCGGATAGCCATGCTTTAGCAATTGAGTGGAACAATCGATCTGCATGATCAAAATGACCACCCTGCGATAAGTAATTTAAGTAGAACGGTGGCAGTTAGAAAAATGTCAAATGATCATTTAATAAATTGATAGAATACATTTTTAGGCAGTTACTTGGAGTTTTAAATATTGTTGTGTAAAAGGTTCAAGTCGTATTAAATATGAACAAACAATCATTGCAGACGAGTAATGGGTTCCATAATGAAATGCCGGCGTTGCTGCATTCGCTGTAGGATCAAAAGAACGGTACCGTATTTGGAATTCCTCTATAAAAATATTAAAATTTATTAATGATAATTAAAGTTAATAATGCGATCTAATTTTTTTTTTTTTCAGTGAGATTTGGATTCATAATAACATATTCTATTTAACATGTTAAACTGGTTAAATTCTGACTTACTTTTGCGTTCTTCAGTTTGTGCACCCATGGGTTTAGATAAGTCACGGAATGTTTCGGGATTAGTTAAATCCAGCTAACTCAAAAAATTATTGTAAAAATAAATAAGTCATAGGTGAGATATTGTTTAGCGAACCTAAGTTGATAGTGTACCTCCTCACTGGTGTAATCAGCCAAGATCCAAGGGAACACGGGATATTGGGTAAGATCTATATATATTATATGTTTAATGAATGCTTTATTAATTCACTAAGTAACATATATTCACTTACCATTATATGACCGACCAGCTAGAGTATTTAAGTGCATCAAGTATTGGAAATTCGAAATTTCCCTTTTTTCCCATCTTAGGGTTAATTCTGCCAACGATGAGTTTGAATTTGAAAAAAAGCTTAGATTGAACCTCAAACCAGTCGAAGGAATTGATAAGGGAGTAACAGGTGATAAGGTATCAAGGGCAGATGTGCCAATAACAGATTCGGCACCACTAATTGAGAAAGTAGCTCTTGCGACAAGTTTATTATAAGCAATATCTCGTTCTTTCAAAAAGAAAGTTATCAAATAATTGCGCCCATCAGCAAAGAATATTTCAAGAGCGACATCACTAAATAATATTCAGACCAGTTAAGATTTTAAAATGTTATATTAAATGATAAATCATAAAACGTAAGTGCTAGCCTACCGGAACAGAAATTTTCTTTTGTGGACTTCCTTTATGTCATCAAAAGCCCTTAATAAAGTGCAATGAAATAATGTTATGAAAAATTTGTGAACAAGCTATCCAATATATATATATATATATATATATATATATAATAATAATAATAATAAGTACCATCGCCTGCTCTTATGTTTATTTTCCTTGGAAGGCGTATTATTATTTACATAACCAGCATGAGAGGCAAGCATTTGTAAATATTGATCTCGCTCCTTCAACGGATCAAAGTAAATGTTTAGCATTAAATATATTTAAATTATGTAAATTTAGTGACGATACCTTAGTTGGTGCATCCCATATATCAACAATTTCACCTTCCAGCGTTTGAAAGTAGTTGTCGATCAAATATAAATTTTGCTTACATAGTAGTAAAAGACCCTCTATAAGGAAACAAAAACATTAGATATAAACCTATAGATATTAAAAATTCGCAATTTGCATACCACATGCGTCTAATCCAGTTATACGACTTATATTAAATATATCCAAGACAGAATCACCGTGTTCTAAAGATCTTAAAACTTTTCTATTTTTGTCTTCTTCAAACGCATTTTCTTCGTCAACTTCCGCTTGTGATTCTGTATACTGACCTAATTTGTTGAAAAGTCACATTTAAATATATTTAAATAAATGATTATTGACATGAAAATGAATATCGGTATGTACTATTTCCAACAGATTCGACGTCATCATTTGATGTTTCAACGTCGCTCGCACTAGGAGTGAGTGTCATTTGGCGTTCGTGTGGTGATTTTCCTAAATAGAGTCAATATATTAATCAGTGTGTGTGTCGGATAATATGTTAAATTTACTCTCCATACCTCCTAAGTGACGAAAAGGTACATCCAAGTCTATCAAGTTATTAAGTTATATATTAGTTAAAGAATTGAAATATTGATCATATTTATTTGTACGAGTGATAAGCACTTACTTGTCTGTGATTTATTGTTCATTAGGTAAGACTTTGATGATTCACTTGAATTCTTTAAATATAAAAAATAAAAAAATTAAGTCCATTGCTTCAAAGGATATAAAATATATTAAATACTGCGTATTAATTATTACCTCTTTTGCATGATTCTCATGTTTGCTGCTCTTTGGCTTATAAGAAAATAACCGCAAATCCTCGTTTTGCTCTAATTTTTTACGCATCCGACATCTCCCTAATAATAATAAATTTGGAGTACGATGTAATACAATGCAATATACTCCAATACATGCAAACCAGGTATCAAAGCTATAATATACTTTACCTTCTGTGAAATCTAACCTCCATTTTGATTCGTGATCCGACGTTTTCGGACCCCAAAGAGCACGTTCACGGAATAAATCAGCAGATGTTTTTGCCCATTCATCTCTCACGTAATTATCGTGATCAATATTGTCTTGTATTGATTTATAATAACGGCTAGTCTCAACTTCCTGAATATTTCTCGACCATTGAGTGGTTTTAATTCTGTACTGATTAAAGAATTCTTGATCCATTGAGGCTTTTTTAAACAATTTCTTGAGCTTTGTCATTCGTTTTCCGTGCATATTTTTCAAATATTCTTTGCAGTTTTTAACTTCGGATGCAATAAATGAGTACCATATTTTCGATATGTTATCCTGAAATAATGTGTCAAGTGGTGTTCTTCGAGACTCAACCCAGTCTAAAAATGAGTTAATATCCTAAAACACCCGCGTTAGATTTATAAACTATTATGAATTATACAAAAGTAGTAAACAAGATTATACCATTTCCAATAGTTTGTTAAATCCATCTACTAGCTCCTTATATTCTAATATGGAAAAGATATCAATTGAGCAGTTTTGCATTTATTAAAGTTTATAAGGCTTTAAAGCGAAATTTACCTATCCCTTTAACACGCATTCTCAATATTCCTGGCATTTCATTCGGCTTCTGAAGCATTAATAATTTCCAAACCTATAATTTAATGTTTAGCTGAGGATTATGATTAACAACAAATAACAATTGTGAATGTATTATTAATGCTTAACATAAAAAGGATACATTCGTTGAATTAGTTTTAACGTCCTGAAGATCATAAATTAAGAACTTATAAAGATGATAACACAAGCATCTCAAAAAATCCACATCAGTATTGTATGGGCTAAAAATGACTCTTTGATGATATATCAATTTTTCAAGCATTTCAGTTATAATAGTGGTGTCAATCGACGTATTTTCAATTTCTGAAAATTTGAACAAAATTATTCTATCTAAAGATCGATATAATGCTGCTATCCATTGATCATTAGCTCGTTTTCCGTTTGTATCATCCATTCTCTCTAAAATCGCGGTAATGAATTCATACATTTGGTCCCTTCCATTTAAAAACCATCCTGTGTATATTAATTGGCAATTAAGTTAATTTTTTTTAAAAAAATCTATGTGAATATAAATAGGCAAAGCTATAATGAATAAAGAAAACCTTGATATATTGCGTCTACAGCCATTTGGGAAAATCTTGCAACGTTTGCAACTATTCGTTGATCAGCCAGTAAATTCGAATCAAGTTGTAAAGATATCTTAAGACTACCTATAATGTGCACCAATACATAGCTTTCAAATTGAGTCTAAAATTGAAACTAAAGGTTAATAAAATATCTAAACTAATTTTTTTACGTAAAATCAAACATACTTGATGCTCTAGCAATGAAGGCGGGAAGGACTGATAAAAAATATATATATTAAATTAATATATACGACTGATGATAGCGATAATGAAATAAATTACATACTCTCAAAACAATTTCTAACCCAGCCAGTGGTTTTAGCTTTGGATCAATTATTGAATTGACACACATAGATACAACAAATTCAAGAAGGCTTTCTACAGTAGCATTCTTATGTTCTGAATAATCTGGCTTTTTTGTAGCGCGTCTTATAGGTGGTTTAATTCTAAAACCAGGATCAGGTTCGTTGTCTATATCACTATTAACAGGGCTAGTTTGTGTGGGAGACGCTGATGGACCAACAGTCGAAGTATCAGTCAGTATAGTTACGATATTATTTCCAGTAGAAATTGTTATCATCTCCTCTCCGGTTTCATCATCAAAAGATTGTATAGAACGTGGCAAATTAGCTAGGACTGGTAATGCACCCGGAGTATTGTTATTAATACTGTTCATAAATAGATCAGTTGCTATGTCAACCTCAAATGAAAGTCCAAGGTCTTTATTACACAATTCAGTCTCTATTGGCTGTTCATCACAAGCGCAGACAATGGGAAAAAGAATTTCAATGAATCCATCCATAATTTCACCTTTACAACAAAGTTCGCTAAATTCACTTGAATTATTATACATATCCATCAAAAAGTGTATTATAGTTTGTTCCACATGCGAAACTTTAGACAGGGTCTCTTTCAAAGATTCGCTTTCTTTTTCAACTAAACATAAAAATCGAATAAATATACAACTTTAAATATAATTGAGATTTTCTCCGAAAATATAACACATTATTGTATTGTACCTTCAAACATCTCATTGGAGCTCGGAGTCATAGATCTACCTCTCGCCTTAAAATCCTTTTCAACTTCATAACTTAACTGGGCTACTGAGTTTATTCCTTCTTTCATCATGAGCAATATAATTATCATGACATCCGGACAAACCACTCGTGTAGCGTCACCGTCAGCTCTAAACAATCTAACCAGAGAGGAAAGATCAAAAGGAGCATCGATTGGAATATCGCATATATCGATGCCAAAAAGCATAGTGAACAATACATGTTGTAATTGAGTAAGATACCACCACTGTGGAAGTAATTTTTGCATAACAATAAACCCTTCAGATAATGTGCGAAATTTATTAATGTAGACGGCCCCTTGTGAATGGAAAAGTCTAGCCAAAATTCGCGCTGCACATACTACCCAGGATGGATTAGAATCTTCGCTAAAAAAAAGCAGTGGCCATTTATTGGTAATTGTCGTTGCAAATCTGTTCACATAAAAAGGGTTAAGTTTATCGCAAACAATGTCCGTAAGCATATCCATGACCATAACACCAATATGTCTAGCAGTTGTCTCAGCTGGTAGGCTCCTAACGTCAGTTACAATATTTTTTAATGATGTTTTTCCATAGATATTCTCGTGAGAAAATGTAGTAGTGCCGGCTTTGAGAGGAGATTCCTTGCGAATACCACGACGAATAAGAGAAGCTATATTGTATAAAAGTTAAAACTACTAAAAATAGCACTGGTAAATAGTATATAATATAGAATATAAACCCACGTCTATTCAATGTAGATACAAGAAAAGTTACAATGGATCGTATGACCTCGGTAGTAAAATTGTATTTTACTACTATTTTCAGAGTATCTATAAAATCAGTTAATAGTTCTTTCGGATAAACGTTTGTTTTTAGTGCAACCAACATTTTTTTGACGACATCTTTTATATATAATAGATTAGTTAAGGATTTATAGGTATATTGGAATGATAAGAATAAACATAAACAAAGAAAGGATACGCATTTTGCTCAAACGTTTAGCATTATAGTGGTGATGCTTGCTCAAATGAATGAATATTGAAAATTGATGAAGATGTGCTCTTTGAACGCTTTCAGGAGAATGCCGCCATAGATCAAAGTCCAGTATCAAAAATCGGTAAGCGAGAGGATTCATAATGACTGAATCCCTATAATGCGAAAAATATTGTTATGATCATAAATTTTGTTTATAATATATTGCATTGAGGACTTACATGTGATTGACTGGATTCAACCCTACAAAGACGAGCAATAGATTTAAAAGATCTGGAGTTAAGAGACCGTGCTTTTGCTTTAGCAAATATGCTAAAATTTCATATCCATGAATTCTTTCCATGTCTTCTGAATTTCGCCAGTTAAATCGAATTAGCTCAATAAGTGTACAAACAGTTTTATATAAATCTTCTGTTGTCTACGGGACGATGAAATCAAAATGTAAACATATGTTTAACCAAAAAGTAATTTGTAGAATTAATTAATTAAAACGTACTTCTGCCCTTTCAACTAGCCTTAAAACCACAGCAGAGCCTCCTATCTTCCAAATAGAATCATCCATCCCATAAGGAACAGCTGTCACTGGATCACCATGCATGTAAGCTAATCCATGTGGCACTCGTAAAGCATGTTCAACTTTCGGAACAGCAGCGTTCAGTATTACTTTTGTATTAATGTTACCAAGTAATGCTTGTGACGTACCCTCAGAAAGACCAGCACCCAATATGCTTGCATTTTGGCCGCAGACAAGAACATTACTTGCATTGAATGCAAAAATAATTTTATCTTCAGGCAAAGTTTGACTATTATTACCACGAATTGCATTAACTATAGGCAAATTATCCAGTTCAATATTAGAATCTCCACGTTGACGACTTAAGGCCTCAAGTCTCATATTAAGCAGCGTTGATGTTTGATACGTCTGAAATTGGCCTAAGGAATCTTGAAAATTAGAAGAATACCGAGGCCCTAAGTGACAATAAACGCTAATGATGTCTCCATCCAGGTCGTCTTCAAAAAAATAGCAGGGGCCTAAATCCCATGCGAGTTTAGTCTTGCCTTTGCCAAATTTCTTGGCAATGTCTTTTGGCGTTCCAATAAATGTTCTGATTGGTCGATTAGTCACTGATTGATTCAAATAAGGACACTTTTGATCATCTACAAGTCTTCCATCCACATAAAGAGATATCAATGATGGCTGCCCTAAACGCGATCGACGATGTACGAGTGCTATATGATACCAATATCCAGTTCTAAATTCAAAATTATCAAATCGAGTCGCTTGTTTTGGAGAAGTCTGAACAACAAGTTTATGTGTTCGAGCTTCGAAATAGATTTGTAAGTAACATTTTTTTTCGTCATCACTTAGCCCTAGAAGAGTCAAATTCGTTTCTGAATCAAAATTTTCAATATCAAGCCAACTCATAAACGTATATCCTCCGTTTGTGGGTGGAAACGTTCGGTCACTTAAACTGCACATCTCTAAACAAGAATAGCCAAATTGGCACATATCAAATTGTATAAATCGAGGCCATCTACTTCTTTGAACTCCGTATAAAACCATGTCCATAACGGTCATAAATGACTCATCGGTGTCCGTAGTAATCTCTTTAGGACGTTGGTTACCATTTTCAAACTGTTCAAATAAAAAACGGATTTCCTTAGTAGTAACACCCATTTCAATCAATCTTTGAGCTAATTTAGTCAAAAGTCTCTTTTCTTGTGCACGATTACTAGCATTAATCGTTCCATTCTCATTATTTTGAACTAACGTTGGAAATAATCGATGTAAAACAATTTCAAGCACACCAGACTTATTTAGCATAACTTGATTTCTTCGATTTGCATAGGCAAGAGCCACCAAAGATTCATAAATCTTCAAAAACAATTTTGAATCTCGATTAACACAGAGTTGTAATTTCAGAATAGTGGGAATCACTTCTGGATTGTGAATTTCGTCAGCAAAATTACCAAACACCTCTTCTATTTTGAATCGTTTGCCGTTTACAATATCATTACCACTAATAAATGCATCAGCCACTGATTCGTTTTCAATTGCGAACCCGAAAAGTATTCCGAAAAGATTTTCAGGGGCTCCAGTTAATTTGAACATCTCAGTAAGGCAAATGGCATCCTCTACAGACCTAAAACCAATAGAATTGCTAAAAAATCGCCGATTAGAATCGTGATTAGACATTGCTTCTGCAAATACAATGAATATAGCTTTTAATGTGTCGATTGCCTGAATTTTCATTGGCAATATCTCTGCGCTGCAATTCGAATGATCTTTAGGCGAATCCGCATTTATTTCATCGAATTTAGCATCATTCTCTGCTGAATTCTGTATTAACTGCTTATATACATCCTCTAAGCCTACTAATAAGCTTACAAGACAAACGAATCCTCCAGATTCGCGAAAAACATCCTTCATTTCAGGGCAAGAAACTAATATACGATTCATTGATAAGAGGATATGCCTTTTCATTTTAAGATCAAATCTAGGAAGAGATTGAACGATTTCAATCAGTCTTCCGAATTGAAATGAATGTTCTATGGCTGAAGAAACTGAATTTCTTGAACCAGTTGTCAAAGGCGTATGTGGCTCTGCATTAGACACAAGGTATCCCTCCACAACCAGTGTTTCAAATATAGTCAGCGCTCCATCTCGAGTTTCATCATAATGTAATAAATCAAACAAATTGCCTTTGTACCTATTCAATAATAAGGGGTTAAAAACTTTTTAGTTAATAAATGATTAAGCTTTAAAAGGCACCTACGCATTTCCAAATAATGAAATATTTGTCTTGTTTCCTTTTAGCATTTCTATCAAGCACTCAGAAATTAGTTGAAAATTCCCAATAATTTCAGGACTAAGTCGGCTTTTTGTTTTAGACGTCTTATTGTTATGAGTATCATTAGATTGAGATACTGATATTCTTCTAATAAAATATGTGTTACCAAATCTATCGTGTAATGTGGTAGCTAATTCATGAAGCAAGTTACATAGCATATCAAGTAATCCAATTTCACGAAAAACTTCTTTAAATTTTGGAGACGTCTGTAAAAGGGATATGACTGTTTCGCACACTATAGCTGTTGTATGCCTTGAGGATTGACCTTTGAATTAAAATAATTTATTATTTAAATTTAATTTCAAATACACAGTTAGCTATTGTAATTTAGAATGTGCTTACCTTGAAAATGCAATGACAACACAACTAGCTCTCTAAATGGCACATAATTTAAATCCACCATAACAAAGACTAGTAAATCTAATATTGATCGCTGTGATAAAGTACTGTTAATAGAAATAAGAGGCGTAATTTTCTTGATACTGTAGACAATTTACAAACCTGAACTTTGGTACTAAATTTATCTATTTCCTGAATTAAAGTTGGTAGAGTATTTAGATGCTCCGTTAAAAAATAGTTCAATTCATTTGATTTATAAATTTCTGCTATAGCTGCAATAATTTTTTGCTGAAAAATCTCCGGGATCGCTTCCTTTATGATATTTATGTTGACAAAGTCTGACAAAAAAGGGGCAATATGTTTTACATCGGGATATAGTAAGGCGGATGCCAAGACTTGAAATGCTTTTTCATTCCGAAAAAGTGTTTCTAAATGTACATATTTAAAACATCAATTAATAAATGATTAAATGAACTAACTTTTGTAATATGGATAGGCAAATAACATTTTTTCTTTTTCTTTTTTTTAAATAAAAAAAATTGCTAACTAAGAGTTTATAGTTCAAGCTATTTGTCTATCCTTTGTCAGGTAGCATACCATCATCTTTTATTTCATTAGGTAAATGGAAATCTTGTTTGAAAATGACATATAAATGTTATTAAAATCTAAAAACTGAATTGTAAAAAAATGCTAAATAAATTAAATATACCATTGTGTTGATATGGCGTTCTATTTGATATAACAGGCTTGACTTTATCAACTCCAGCAAATGCTAAGTCTTCGACCATTTCTATAATTGCATCCTATGGCATTGTAAGAAAGTATTAAATCTTAAGGTTATTAATTGAAATGTCGGTTTGAAATTAGATTACCTTTGATTCTGAATATTTTCCATCAAATGGAGGCAATATAAGTAAACTAAAAAGCGTTTCATATCCATTCATATTCAAAAAGTTTTCTAAAAAGATTGGTGACACATGTAGAGTTCCCTTTTGAGGCAAATCAGGACAATAAGTGTATTTATAAAATGGTTTACAAAAAAAAAAAAAAAAAGACTAATTTAAATCCTTGCCTGTATTATTTCTAGAAGTAATGAACCTGCATATATTAACTGCTTGCCACCAATAATCATATTATTCTTTAAATCTAAACTGTCTGTTAATATTTTCATCAGAGTTCCTAAAACGTTTTTATCTATAAAATATGCTATAATATCTTGGGTAGCAAATGCAAAAAGTTCAATAAGAACTTCTATTGCTCTACATACAATAATAACGTGTCATTAATACAATTTAATATAATACAGTTATAGAAGACAGAAATAGTTTAATAGTATAATAACTAATACCTGTCTTCCCAAATATATGGGTTTTCTTTGTGATCCAGTACAGAGATTCTGTCATTTATTACCATTGTAACTAACAAATATAATGAATCATGTTCTAACATTTGTTTCAATGCAATAGGATTTATCACAAAATGAATAAGAATATCCGTTACTATATCCGAGACAACGCCAGAAGGTGCGAATGCCAATGAATTAGATGATGGCGAATCAACTTGTCCATTGGACTCATTCTTTATGGTATATTGAGGAATTTCGACGAACGATTGAAAAGCCTTGATCAAGATTACAGGAAGCTCGCGTGCTGTCATAATCTCAAATACAAATTCCTAGGATGCCACAAGAATAGTGATCATTCAATATTTTGCTTTTATGTATTTCTTATACTCTTTTTTTTGTCATGACCTTTGTATCGTCACTATAGAATTCAATGACATGAACAAGCGTCGCGATACGAGGGTCGATTTGATAATGATTATGGCTAACAAAAAATTTATACATACGGGTCCATTACAGAGCAGATCAATCGCTTTCAGGATAAAAAAAAGCTGATTTTCATCAGCCAACATCTGCAAAATATCTTTTAATGTGAGAAGTAAATAACTTGAATTAGAATCATCAATTATAATCATGGAAACTAGAAATCAACAAATTATTATATATGCTCACTTTACCCTGACTGGTTTGTGCATGAATACAATTAATTAAATGCTTTGAAACAGCATCAGTGAAAATTTCCAAATCGCCCAAGCTAATTAAGCATAACTTTTAGTAAAACAATCAATATCAATTATTACAGATGGAGAAATTAAAATGTTCACCTCTCTCCCACCATTTCAGGAGCGTCAACATAGTTTTCAAAAAATTTACGCGATAATGAAATTAGGAGAACACTACGTTCCTAATCAATATTATAAGATTAGCCATGAAACTCATAAAAAAATTGGAAAAAAAACTTGCAACTTAATTCATGTTTGAATAACACCCGATTAAAACATATATTCAAACATTCAAAATAATGAAACTCCGTTATACATGTATAAAATACCTTTTCGTCCAATGCATTCTGCCATTGTTGAAAGAGTGAACATAATTCTTGTTGCTGCTCAGCAGAAATTCTAACGTTGCATTAATAAGTTAAAAAAAAGCTAATGAATTGATGATACTAAAAATTCTGGAATTACAATTAACATTGTGGACTCATTTACAATTTTATAAAATATGCGTATATGTCTCTGTCATTATGATAATTGAAATCGTTTAAATAAAACTTTCAATCTGCTAAGTAAGATGTCTAAAATAGACATATGTGGCATTTATTTATAATTCAACCCAAGAATTGATAAATTACTACCATAAGAACTCACGTTTTGCGTAAAAATTGTTTCTCGGATAGTTTTTCTTGTGCAAAGATTTCACTGCCTGGTGAAACACCGTATAACAGACTACTCTTTCGTCTAGCCTCTGTTACGCGTGGATCTTTTTGCGAACCAACGCTGGATTTCCTAGAAAGTCGCTCATTAATTTTTAAGGGCGTCGTCGATGCTATAGGGTGTGTTGCACCAAATATTGGATTTGCATTCTTAAGTTGGCCAACAAATTTTGACCACATAGTGTAATTTAATTCTAAGTCGTCGCACCGTTACTTGAGAATTAGCCTAGTTACTAAGGCAATTCATAAAACGGTTTGCGAAAAGTATAAGATTAGTACTATAGATTAAAATCGTAACAATTGTTCGCCGAAGACTTTTTTTTTTTTTACTATGAATCGGTCGCCTTATATTTGGAAGAAAAACGTTAGCCACATTATTTTCAGGTGCGCACAAACTTGGATATGCGCACCAAGAACTCTTTTCCTGATGTTCTTTCCTTAATAGAATTAGGCATCGATTAAAAAGGATACTATAACCACTTATGCAACGCCAACCTCCACAATAAATTTTTTGTCACGAATTTTTTTTATAATATACTGGTTGCTTATACTCAATGGACGAAATTATTAATCGGCTAAAGAATAAGTACATATTCATTTATTAAATGGTTATTTACACTATTTTAATCATATTCACATAGTTAACACATTTGTATGTAACAGAGATAGGGCCATTCAACAAAAGGCCGCACAAGATCTTCGTATACTGGTAACCGATCTTTTTTAAATTGAATTTGTAAAACAAATTGAGGACTTAGCGACTTTACTTACGTGATATCAGGTCGAAGGACAACCTAATTTATTAAATGAAGCGAATAAAAGAATATTTGAAATGATGCAAGGGGACACCCCCGATTCTCATAAAATCGGTGGTATACTTGCGATTGGCAAGTAAATGATTATCTTTTTACTTTATCAAATCGTAGGTTTAATACACGTCTTCCTTTTATGCATACATAACCAATCTTTATATATTTAGATTCACTGATAAACAATAACATCGAGACAACGACATTGTCTCGCTTCACGAATTATTTGAAAATGGTTCTTCCGAGTGGAGACCAACAAATCATGATTTTGGCATCAAAGGCGCTAGGTACATAGATCATTATCAGTTAACTTTCTTGCCTAATATTCATTCACTCAACTAAAATTCAACTACCAGGTAAATTGGCCGCTCCTAACGGTGCAGTAACGGCTATTTTCGTAATGCGTGAAGTTAATACTGCACTGGAATATTTGCAAGGTAGGTTTAATAATCATTAATATTAAGCGATTGTTTACGGATTCTACTTCTTAATAATCGTAAATTCTTAATGGCAAAGGGGATCGTCAGGAATTAAGAAGATATGCAGCAGCACTCGTACTTCGTGAACTTGCACAAAATGCGCCGACACTAATATATGGGCATGTACCAGCGATTCTAGACTCAATATGGGTGGGATTACGCGACCAGAAGCAAATCATACGAGAAGCTTCTGCAGAGACCTTGAGCGTTTGTCTCAAAATTGTGAATGAACGTGAAACTGTGTTAAAGATTCAATGGTATAACAAGATATATGATGAAGCCGTAAAAGGCATAAAAAGTAATAATGCAGATCAGATACATGGGGCGCTATTAGTTTACCGTGAATTGCTAAATCATGCACAAGCAGTAAGTATGATTCTTGTTAACATTATTAATAACAATTACAGAGAAAGTTTTTTATTTTTAAAAAAATTATAATTTAGTTTATGCACGAAAGATATAAAAATGTTTGTGAAACAGTGCATCGTTACAAAGACCATCGTGATAGCCTTATTCGACGAACTGTAATTTCACTAATACCAGTTCTTGCAGAATTTAATGATAAAGAGTTTGTTGCTACATATGTTCAAAAATTTATGTCGCACCTTTTGAATCAACTCAAGAAAGATCGCGACAGGTCCATTGGTATGTACAGCATCGTGGATTACATTTATCCGGGAAATTAAGAGTATTTAAGTAATTTTTTTACTTATATATATATATTTATAGCTTTTATAGCAATTGGGCAGGTGGCATGTGCAGTAGGAAGTAATATGAGCCCTTATTTAGATTCTATTTTAAGCAATATCAAAGAAGGTTTATCTGCAAGAGCGTAAGTATTCAGCACGTTTTAACTCAATTATTCAATAAATACTTTATTTTAGAAGTTTTAAAAGTTGAAAATTTTAAAGGCGAAGCCGCAGCGGAAGCGAAGCCCCCTTATTCCAATGTATTGGCATGTTAGCCCGAGCAGTTGGTCAAGCACTTACAAAGCACATGCATGAACTTTTAGACTTAATGTTCCAATGCGGATTAAGCGAGCAACTTCGACAAGCTCTTACGGAGCTTGCAGTTTTTATTCCACCGTTACTGCCAAACATTCAAGGTAATCCTATTAAGTTATTTATTTATTATTAAATAGACTTCAGTTAAATTAATAATTTTTTAATTAAAAAAAAAGAACGTCTTTTAAACACGCTATCAAATATGCTGAGTGGACAACCGTTTCGACCTCCTGGCTCACCAGCACTAGAAGGAAATGATTTGAAACGACATCTTGGAAATCAGATGTCGGAATTAAAAGATGTAGAGACGATAACACTCGCATTGAAAACACTTGGAAGTTTTAATTTTGAAGGTTTGCTTGCCACACAATGTATGCAGTTTCGTTTTTTTTTATTTAATTACTAAATATTATACTGGCATTAATTAATTTAGGGCACATATTAAATGAATTTGTCAGAGACTGTGTAGTTCGTTATTTAGAGCAGGAAAATCATGAAGTTCGTGGAGCGGCGGCTCTGACTTGTTGTCAGTTATTTGCTCGAGATCCAATTTTGGATCAGACTAGTAATCACTCAATTCAGGTTGTAAATGAAGTGTTAGAGAAGCTATTGACTGTCGGTGTCGCTGACCCTGGTAAAGGTTTACCGAATATTTTATGATTATTCTTATTGTTTTCGTTAATTCTGGCATTTGTTTTTGGCTTAATCAGATCCATCGATTAGAGAGACTGTTCTTTCAAACCTTACCGAAAGGTTTGATCGGCACCTGGCTCAGGCGGAGAATATACGCTCTTTGTTTATTGCGCTCAATGACGAAGTATTTGCAATTCGCGAAATTACAATTATAATTATAGGTCGACTAGCTTCTCATAATCCCGCATATGTAATGCCATCTTTGCGGAAAACATTGATTCAACTTTTAACAGAGTTACAATATTCTGGTGTAAGGCAAGTTAAATTATCTTATCAATAATCATCACAATTATTCTATTTTTAATAATTTGCATTTTTTGCCTGCAGTCGCAACAAAGAAGAAAGTGCTAAGCTACTAGGTTTATTGGTCTCTGCTTCTCAAAGACTGATTAAACCATACGTAGAGTCAATACTTAATGCACTATTACCTAAATCTCGAGATCCAAGTCCTGCAGTTGCCTCTAGTGTTTTAGCTGCACTCGGTGAATTAGCACGTGTAGGAGGGGAAGATCTAATTCCCTACTTAGACAACTTAATGCCACTAATAATCGATGCCTTACAAGACCAAAGCTCTACAGTCAAGCGAGATGCTGCGCTAAAAACATTGGGTCAACTTACAAGTAATACCGGCTTCGTCATTGAACCATATCAAAAATATCCTAAATTGCTTACCATTCTTACCAATATATTAAAAACGGAGCAGTCTCCCTCGATACGACGGGAAACAGTTAAATTGGTGGGAATTTTGGGTGCTCTAGATCCTTATCGACACAAGGTAACGATATTATGAGCTTGTTGAATGAGAGCCACAACTGCTTAACAAGGTGTAACTATACAATTAATTTTATAGATAACGATCGGATCTTCAGATGATTCTCTAACAGATCCAAAATCCTCAAATACTGACGTTTCCCTTTTGATGACGGGAATGGGTCCAACGTCTGAAGAATATTATCCTACAGTTGTAATAAATGCACTTATGAAAATATTACGAGATCCTTCATTGAGTGCCCACCACACAGCTGTTATTCAAGCTGTTATGTATATATTCAAAACTTTGAGTTTGAAATGCGTTCCGTTTTTGCCACAAGTACGTTTATCCTTTATTATTATTATTATTATTATTATTATTATCCGATAAAATACGTAAACGCAGTATTAACTTCATTATTTCATTAGATCACACCAGCTTTCATAGGAGTAATGAAGACATGTCCTTCTGGAATGCTAGAATTTTATTTTCAACAGCTTAGCATTTTAGTATCTATTGTTCAACAACACGTCAGAAATTACCTTTCGGACATTTTTGTTTTAGTCGAAACTTTTTGGAATCCAAGCTCTACTATTCAAATTACAATAATTCATCTTGTAGAAGAGATTGCAAAGGCCCTGGATGGCGAGTTTAAAAATTATCTTCCTAGACTTTTGCCTATAATGCTGCAAATTTTTGATGAAGACGAAAGTGATAAGCGACAACCTACTCAAAGAGTTTTACACGCACTTGTAGTATTTGGCACGAACATTGAAGAATATATGCACCTTGTTATTCCTGTAATTGTCAAACTTTTCGAGAGAACAGATCTGCCTCCTCAACTACGTAAATCAGCCATTGGCACAATTGGTCAATTATCAAAAAAAGTAAACTTTTCGGATCACGCATCCAGAATTATTCACCCATTAGCTCGCGTCTTGGCTTCAAATAACAATGAATTAAAAATGGCTGCAATGGATACACTTTGTGCTTTGGTATTTCAATTAGGATCAGATTATGCAATATTTATTCCTTTAATAAACAAAGTATGTATCTCAAATTATCTTAACAACACACAATAAAGTTCTTTTACATATGTATTAATTTAATATACCTCATTTTTTAATAGATTTTACAGAGACACAGGATTACACATCCAAACTATGATATGTTAGTTTCTAAGCTTTTAAAAGGCGAACCTTTACCTCAAGAATTCGGAACAGAAGAAAGGTATATAATGTCAAATACCATTAATATCTTACGGTTATTGATTTAGCATGAACAGTTAAATATGTAAAGCTTTAAATAGGTTTAACGAAGCGCGTATTGAAGAGACGCCCACTGCTGAAGCAAATACTAAAAAGTTACCCGTAAATCAACAACACCTAAAAAATGCATGGGAATGTTCTCAAAGGTCGACAAGAGATGACTGGCACGAATGGATTCGCCGTTTAAGTGTCGAATTACTTAAAGAGTCGCCTTCACATGCACTTCGGGCATGTGCAAGCTTGGCTGGTGTCTACGTTCCCTTAGCAAGAGAATTATTTAATGCAGGATTCATATCATGCTGGTCAGAGTTGTACTATCAATATAAGGTAAACATTATCATTAAGTTTTAACACTTTTATAAAGCATCGTTTTATCTAATATTTTTGTTTCTTTATTAGGATGAACTTGTTAGCTCTTTAATGTCTGCATTAAGAGCACCAAATATTCCCCCTGAAATTGTTTCTACTATTTTAAATCTTGCCGAATTCATGGAGCACTACGATAAACCACTTCCAATTGATATTAGAACACTTGGTAACCATGCTGAAACTTGTCATGCATATGCTAAAGCGCTTCATTATAAGGAGCTAGAATTTATGACAGAGTCTTCAACCGAAACTATCGAAAAACTGATTCAAATTAACAACCAACTTCAACTTCCCGACGCTGCTATTGGTATTCTTAAACATGCACAACAAACTCCCGGTTTGCAAGACCTCCAATTGAAAGAGAATTGGTATGAAAAACTTACTCGTTGGGAGGATGCATTAGCTGCTTATAATAAACGGCGGCAAAGTGATCCAAACGATTTTGAGGCAACTTTAGGTGTTATGCGCTGTCTACATTCTTTAGGTGATTTTGATGGACTTTCAGAACTTGTTCAAGAGAAATGGCCTGATGCATCAAATGAAATGCGCAAAGCAATGTCCACTTACGCGGCTGCAGGTGCTTGGTCTCTAGGCCAATGGAATTTATTGGAAGATTACATTCCGACAATCAAGTCAGAATCACCAGATCGATCATTTTATCAAGCAATACTTGCTTTACATAAGAACAAATATGATGAGGCAATTCAGTATATCGGTAAAACACGAGATCTTTTGGATACTGAACTGACTGCTCTTGTTGGAGAGAGTTACAATCGTGCATACAGGTAATACTAATAATATATACAACATTTAAATTATCCGATTTTCTTACGTCTATATCCTGTTTCAAGCGTTGTCGTCCGTGTACAAATGGTGGCTGAATTAGAAGAAATTATCGCATACAAGCAATTTTCTGACCAACCTGATAGGCAAGCAACCATAAGGAAAACATGGATGAAAAGGTAATTGCATTAGTTTTGCGGTACGTTTTTTGTGACTCATTGAGGCTAATTTATAATATAGGCTAAAAGGATGTCAGCGCAGTGTTGAAGTTTGGCAACAAATACTTAAAGTGCGAGCACTAGTTATAGCTCCTAAGGAAAATATAGAAATGTGGATAAAATTTGCAAACTTATGTCGTAAGAGTGATCGTCTTGAATTTGCAGAGAAGACATTGAAGCAACTTTTAGTTGGAGACCAAAAATTAGAAAAAGTGCACCCATCGGTAAATCTTTTATACCACTGTGTTTTGACATCACAATTTGCAGAATATTATAATAATAGTATTGTTTTTCGTATTCTCAATAGATTTTAGTTAAAGCAGCACCACAAGTTGTCTATTCTTATTTAAAATGGATGTGGGCTAATGGAGTTCGTGAAGAAGCTTTAGGTTTATTAAAGGACTTTACAGCTAGAATGTCTAATGACCTTCGTGTTGGAAACAAGGAGCTTCTTGCCCGTTGTTATCTTAAAAAGGGTGAATGGCAGAAGGTCCTACAAGATGATTGGGAACCGGTTAGCTATTTATTATAGAAATATCTGTCGTATTTTGGCAGCATGTTTTTGAATTATGTTATTTAATCTCTAGGAAACTATACCTGACATATTGCAATCATACTCCCTTGCAACACAACACGATAAAGATTGGTATAAGGCATGGCATGCTTGGGCCCTCGCTAACTTCGAAGTGATATCACATTATGAAAAGCTTATCGGCACTGATAATGAATCTCAAGAAGAGCAAAACGTTTATGACATGCTTGATGAAGAAAATGCAGATCTTTACCAAGAGATGTTGCGTTACGTGGTTCCTTCCGTGCAAGGTAATTGCCTTTATAATAAATGTTTATTACATCGCTCTCAAATAATAAATTTATTATTTTCTTTACTATTGTTTAAATCATTATAGGCTTCTTTAGGTCCATTGCTCTTTCTAGAGGCAATTGTCTGCAAGATACCTTGCGATTGCTTACTTTGTGGTTTAAGTACGGTTATAATGAGGATGTTAGCAAGGCCATTAAACAAGGATTTGGAAGCGTTAATATTGATACTTGGCTTGAAGTAATTCCTCAGGTTAGTTTGTACCTTTTAGTTCTTATATGTATGAATTCACTAAAATTCTTTAATATACTATAGTTGATTGCTCGTATCCATGCACTAAATGTTAACGTGCGTGAACTAATACGTAATTTGCTCGTTGATGTTGGTAAAGAACATCCACAAGCGTTAATATACCCGTTAACAGTCGCTTCGAAGTCTCAGAGTCCTTATAGACAAATTGCAGCTTCAGCTGTGATGGATAAACTGCGGTCTCATAGTGCAGTTCTTGTTGAACAAGTAAGTATTGATTCAAATGTTGATACTTGATTATTATGACCATTTTTGACTCGATTTATATTACCAGGCTCTGTTAGTAAGTCAAGAACTTATCCGTGTCGCCATTTTATGGCATGAAATATGGATGGAAAATCTGGAAGAAGCATCAAGATTATACTTTATTGATCGCAATTTCGAAGCTATGTTCCAAATTTTGGATGAATTACAAGAGCGCCTTGATCGTGGTCCTGAAACGTTACGAGAGATGGCATTTGTTCAAGCATACGGTCGAGAACTTCAGGAAGCTGGAGGATGGTGCAAAAAATATAAGCAAACTGGTGATATGACATTCCTAGCACAAGCGTGGCAGATTTATCATGATGTAAGAAATATCTTTGTACCGTCTATCGTTACCTTAGTTTTTATTGATTCAATATCGAATTTTAAATCAGTTGTTCAAAAAAATAACGGCGCAAGTTTCAACAATTACCTCGCTTGATTTCCAATACGTCTCTCCAAAATTACTTGCTGCACGTGACCTGGAATTGGCAGTACCAGGTAAATAAATAAATCTTTTGCTGCATTCATTTTAAGCACCAATAACCACATTAGAAATTTTCAGGAACCTACAAGAGTGGAGAAGCTGTGACAAAAATTGCAAGTTTTGTGCCAACAGTTAACATTATTTCTTCAAAACAACGGCCACGAAAATTAAATCTGATTGGAAGTGATGGTAAAGAATATCAATTTTTATTAAAAGGTAATTATCCTTATAATATCTTAGTCGTAGAATAAACAAAGATTCTATTAAGATGCTAAACTGTCTAAATTCCGATAGGCCACGAAGATTTGCGTCAAGATGAACGTGTAATGCAACTATTCGGTTTGGTTAACACACTTCTTTCTATCGATTCTGAGACATTTAAGCGTCATTTGAACATTACAAGATATACAGTCACACCACTGACACCGAATATTGGACTTCTTGGATGGGTTCCTAATTGTGATACACTTCATGCTCTCATTCGCGATTATCGCGAAAGTAAAAAAATTCTACTGAATCTTGAGCATCGGTTGATGTTACAGGTTTGTCTCATTAAAAATTTCTATCACGATTAATTTCACATAAAATTGACATTATTCAAATCGTCATCTAGATGGCTCCTGACTATGATCAATTAACAATAATCGAAAAAGTCGAAGTTTTCGAGTTTGCATTAGCCAACACAACGGGACAAGATCTGTACAGGGTGCTTTGGCTTAAGAGCAAAAATTCTGAAGCATGGCTAGAACGAAGAACAAACTATACACGATCTTTAGCTCTAATGTCCATGGTAGGATACATTCTTGGACTTGGTGATAGACATCCGTCAAATATTATGTTAGATCGTTACACAGGGAAAATAGTTCACATCGATTTTGGCGACTGTTTTGAGGTAAAATTTTTGATTTAAAAAAAAAAAATAAAGTTATAACTTTCTAATCTATTATTGGTTGCGTTTTAACCAGGTTGCAATGACGCGTGAGAAATATCCAGAAAAAATTCCATTCCGATTAACGCGTATGTTAACAAACGCAATGGAAGTAAGCGGCATTGAAGGCAATTTCCGCACTACCTGTGAGGCAGTAATGAACGTTTTGCGAAAAAATAAGGAAAGTCTTATGGCAGTCCTGGAAGCTTTCGTTCACGATCCCCTAATAAATTGGCGAATCATGGCACATCCAAGTCCACGGCAAGGTACATTTATTTTTTATTTTTTATCGCTTCTAGGTTTATATTTGAGTACACAAATTCTAAATTAATTCTCTAATAGATGGTGAAAATCTAAATGTAGCCGGTGCGAGTAACCGTCGTGCGCGTGACATTATAAACCGTATCTCAAATAAATTAACAGGTTTGTGTACAGTACAGTATTTTGATTACGTCACTTACGTAGAATTAATGTTTTTATATTAAATTTACAATAGGTAAGGATTTTAATCCTAACCAAGAGTTGGATGTCCCATCACAGGTCGAAAGATTAATACAGCAAGCGAGGTCCGTGGAGAATTTATGCCAATGCTACATTGGATGGTAAGCTACTTGTCATTTTTGATCATAAATATATATTTATAAAACAAGCTGCAATAACTATTTCTTCTTCTTAGGTGTGCATTCTGGTGATACTGTATCGGTCAAAACAATATCCGTATAGATATCCTATTTATATTTTTATAAATAGTGTCTATTAAGTAATCCGGTTTATATCCAGTTTATTTTTTTGGTTCACTGTGTAATTTTTTATTTAAATATATATACGTAATCGAACATTATGCCAAAATAGCTTTACTAACCCACAAATAAAATTGTTGCAAATAAATCTATTAATAATTATAATAAAATTTCCATACTGTTGTTAGACTTAACGCCAAAAATAAAATGTACTTACCTATTAGATATATATATTTGTATGCTATTATTAACTATTCTAATATATCTTGAGATTATCTTGAGTAATCTTTTGATAATGATCCCCGAAATTTGTTAATTTCGGTTAGGAACAAACTATTCGTATAGATGGGTTAAAGCTTAGTTTCCATAATTCAACTTACTAAGTTGGACAGGTTTTACTAATAAAATGACTTTGATACAAGTATATTGTAATATTAAGTAATGAAGAACAATTAATAAGTCATATACAGTATCAATAATATATTTATTATTTAGAAGATAAAAAAATAAAAAATACAGTAGCTCTTTACAATTGCAAAATATACTGTCAATATCAAAAGTAGAATCACCAGGGGAAAAATTCATGTGTGTGCCTTTCTCAAATACGACCTTGTGATTTTTTTAAGTAAAAAATACCCTAAAATAAAGCCTGATCTCTAACTTTAATCTAAACCCTAACTTTAAGTTCTAATTTTAAGATAAAAATTTTTATAATCATCTAAAGTTATAAATAAATCATTTGCAATTAGAGTTCGGAACGGTTTTATTTTTCATTTTTTTTTAACTTGATTTTTAAAATAACGCATATTGTATCTGATATGTACATTGTATATAAGTTATGACTTAATTTACGCTTTCGCCTTGCTAAAATTTTAAATATATTTATATATATATATATTGGCCAATCATAATTATTTATTTAACTAATTTTGATTATAAAAAATTTTTTTATATTTCTTAGTAATTTTGGTATTTGAATATTTTTAAAAAAACAACCGATAAATTTGATAGAACTAATAAAAAGATTCTTTTTTATCGGTTAAGTTTTTTAAAAAATATTTTAAAAATACTTACGCAGTTAATTTGACGAGAAGTAACTTGGCGCACCATAAAAAATCCTGCATGCTATTTTTGAAGGTACATACGATTTGTTAAATAACGCCAATGCCTGTTATTTGCCTTTTCTAGAGTAGGATTTGACATTTCCCTAAGCGCTGTCCGACGCAGTTTATTTTCATTAAATAGGAGGCGAAAAATAAAGACGCGACTTACAGGTTTTATTAGTGGCCCTTGTAGTATCCAATACACAAAAATCTCTAGGAACAAAGACAAAATAAATTATAAATTAAAATACTGTATATAAATATATAATTTACGTATAATATGAAGAAAACATTTGATCTTTTTGATTTTCTTATTTTGTTGGGTTTGGGATCCTTATACGTATCAGCCCTAGGGGTAGTATATTTTGGCTTCTTTTCTGCTATTTTTTTCTTTATAGATTGTAATATGTTCAAATGTTACGGAAATGTGACCCCTTTTACAAACGATATGGAATTATTTGGGATAGGAATTACAGGTTTTCTTTCTTGTGGTTTATTAGCATTATTTAGTTTGATTCTCCTCGCTATTGGACACCTCAGAAAAAAAATTGATAAAGAAATACAAGAAATCGGAAATCAAGAAGCAGTAGAAAAAGAAATGAATTTGAATAATGCCGAGAAAATTAATATTAATGAAGTAAAAATTAATATTCCAAAGCTCCAAACAGAGTTAGAACAAGAAAAAAACAAAAAGTTTCTCACAGGACAACTAGAAGCTCAGGTCGAAAATCCATCTAAACTAATTGTATAGTACTAAGAACCTCGACCTCCATTATTCTTTTCATTAAGAAATAATAATTGTCAAGACTAGCAAAAATGAAAATTTTTTAAAAGGGAAAGAATGGACAATTCCTTTTAATTACAAAGTACCGTTCAGTACCGAATATCATACTGGGGATTCTTAGTAATAGGTTAAGTTAGTGGCATCATAAGGCATTTTTATGGAATACACCATATATGTCAATCCACGTTTTCTGTTGATTTTAAATTAACATGTCATGTTAGAATTTATACCGATTGGAATGTGACATACGTCAATATTGATTGCGTAGAGAAAATATGTAAATAAAATTCAATTTTAATCACTATCTCTTTCGTTCAAATAATTTGCTAGTTTTTCCATTTCTTTCACCTTAAATCTCTGATAGAATAATTAAAGGTACGAGTAATCGAAAAATAGAAAACATACAGTCAGACCTCCCTAAATGCATATTCTCTAAATGCATAGTCTATAAAAGACTCTATAAATGCATGGCCTTATTTGGCCCAACTCATGACACATATTTTTACTTCCTTAAATGCAATACCTCTCTAAATGCAAGATTTTTTGGCCGCCCCGCGGCTATGCATTTAGAGAGGTCTGACTGTATTATGAATCATTCGAAATATAATCGTTTTTAAACGCTTTTGCGTAATCCTACAAGTACACGTGAAAATCCGAAGTTCAAATATTGAGTACTTCATGCATTTAAAATTGAAAATATTGAAGAGTTAAATTTAAACCTGAAATAGAGTTTGGAACCGGATTTCGTTTTTCGATTCGGATTAAATTTAATTAATAAAAATATGCATCGAATTTAAATCCGAATTTATTCGATAATATCCGGTTGTGCCTAGGTTGATCGTAGCATCATTGTTGTACATACACTTTAGTGTAAAATATTCGATCACTTAAGAACTAAACATTTTGGTTGTAGAAATTCTATTGGTGGTTGAATACTTTTGTTCCCTATGCATTTGTACAGACAATGTGAGTATTGCAGATTCGATAGATCGGTTTTATATCCGAAATTAAATCGAATCCGAAGGAAATCGGATTTAAATCCGAAGGTCAAATCCGGTTCCAAACTCTAGCCTGAAATCATTATTGTGATATGCAAGTTTGCCCTATTAAAGATTTTTATGCTGTATTGTCAAGCTCATCAGGATATGGAACATAGCGGCCAAGAAAAAAATCATAACGGTAATATTTTTAATTAAACAAAAAATTTTGTTAATTCTCAATGATTGGATGTGAATTTTAGGTACTGTAAATGGTACTCTGCAAATGAATTGAAACTATTAGACACTAACGAATATCTAACACTCGATATTATTCCATTTGGAATTCTCACCTTTTTAGCAAAATTTGGCACGATTAATTATCACGTTATTGTTTCTTAATAAATATACATTGTCACTCTATCAAAGATTATAATTTAATAATTTACTAAAAGGATAGTGATTACCAAACGTATAGTGCTAAAATAAATGAATGTACGCTTTCTTGTATCATAAATATTATATTATACCCAGTGTTGGGCTCTGGACCAAAAGTCCGCTCTACTGGACTTATAAACTGGACTACTGGACTTATAAGTCCAGTTCCAGTTCAATTTTACTGGACTTATAAGCGAACCCAACACTGATTATACCGGTCATGATATAACATATATCAAATTCTAATTTCGATTTGGAGTTAACATAAATTCTTAAGCGATATATAACATTAAACAATATAACACATTAAATTTTATTGTAATTATTTCCTCAGTTTATATAAAAACTTTTTATTACTCCAAAAAATCAAGATAGTAATATTTAAAACTATCCAAGAATGATTAATAACATTAATTTGAATTATATAAATGAAAATCTACATAAATATCTAGTTTAAAATAACAGACCACTCGTGAGGTATTTCGCCATATTGTATACCCATCAATGTGTCAGAAATTCGCCGAGTCACAGGTCCTGCATTATTTGAAGCATCATTTGGATCTAATGGCACTTTTAAGTCTTGTCCACGATAATTAATTTCCTTAATAGGGGTGACAATACATGCAGTACCAGCACCGAACATCTCTCTCAAACGACCCTCTTTCGATGCATTTACTACCTCGTGCATGGTAATCTTACGTTCTGAGACTTTGAACTCTTTCCATGTCCGAGCAAGCTGTAATATAGAATCACGAGTCACTCCAGCAAGAATGGAACCATCTAGGGGCGGCGTCACAAGTTCAGTTTCTAATAATGAACAATTTTAGAATGTGCTATGTCTCTATATTTTCATCAAGATGAAAGGTTGAAAAATAATATCATACCACCATTCTCATTATCTAAAAGAACAAAGCAATTCATTGTGCCTACTTCTGTAATCTCATCATCAGGGCCAAATAGCCACAAATTTTGTTGATATCCTTTTTTGGCAGCTTCAATTTGCGGTTTAACACATGGTGAATAGTTTCCACCAATTTTAGCATCTCCAGTTCCACCAGGCCATGCTCTTACATTTTCAAATGTAGACAATAATTTAACAGCACTAAACCCTGTCTTGTAGTATGGACCGCAAGGAGAACAAATAATAAATAGAATTGCTCTAGAATTAGGCCCTATTCCTAAAGAAGCTTGTGTACCAATAAGAGTAGGACGTATATATAATGAAAACCCTCTCTCAGCAGGAACCCAACGTTCTTCTAATCGGATCAGCGTTTTTAAACACTCTAACAATTCATATTCGTTGACAGTCTGATTTAGAAAGTTAAATGATTTGAAGGATAACCGTATAATTAAAGAAATAAAATAAAATAAATAATAAATAAATAAAATATCTGCTAGTTTCGATTGATCAAAAATTCCATATCTATTCTAAATTACGTCTTAGGCTATTTTATACTCACAGGTAATGTAAGTCTTGCTGCCGACTTACTTAGCCTCTTCATATTCATGTCTGGTCTAAATAATCGTAATTTTCCCTCTTTATCTTTATAAGCTTTTAGTCCTTCGAAACACTCGAAAGAATAATGGAATACCATAGCACTAGGTTCAAGTGAAATCTTGCCGTAAGGCTGGATAATTGGATCTGACCACCCATCTTTATCATTCCATTCGATCGTTAACATATGATCTGTAAAGTTCCGTCCAAATACAAGATCCTTGCTTGGAATAAGAGGTTTTAAAGATTCTGATAATTTGACCTGAACTCTTTTATGCTGTTAACCATTTAATTTTAATTCATAGTGGTATATGTATAAAAGTTATTTTCTGCAAATGGCAAATTCGAGGAATATGAAAATACTGATAAAAGGATATCTTTTATAACCGAAAACTTGTAATTGTGCCTATAGTAAAGATCAAAATGGCAGTGAACTTACATCAATTTCAGCAGCTTTTGTTGACTTAAATAGAGTTTGTTGTAAAATAAAAGGACATCTATTAATATAGCGAGGCAGTGTTAGTCTAGTTGATACAGGAAAAAGAGTGGTGAATAACCGTTTCGAAGTGAAAGCGGACATTGTAGCTTATCATTAAGGATGAAGTACTCTACGTACTCCCCTCGAGATTAACTTATTTATATTACATTATTATTATTACAATACGTACAATGATTGTACACTGATTCTGCCGGGTTATACTTAAGGTTAAAATCATCACCCCTAAAAAGGAATATAATACACACTGTTAAAATGTTTGGATTTTAGTTTATAACTAAATATAACAAGATGTGTTCTATGTGAGTCTTTTCCCGATACCCTTTATTATTGATCTAACTAGGTTTAGATAGCAATATCGATATTTTTTGTTAAAAGCACTATAAAATGCGACATGAAACTTTAGCTAACGCTAATTGCTAATGAAAGTCAAAATGCGTAAAATGAAAAAAGTCATGTGAATGCGCTTAACAGGGACGCACATTTTTTAATTTTTTTGGATAACGGATTTTTGGTTAAACCGGCATAAAATTTAAGTTCCGGTATCAAAAGACGGGTTGGAAAGTAAACTGCATTGAATAGTCGGAAGCTCAGGAACATAATTAGCCGCCAACTAATTTGATTGGCCAATAATCCCGTTTAGATCGTTTAGATTAGAATCGCTCCAGTGGGATTTCTCACTGGAACCACCGGAATGCTGGAAGATATCCGGATTCTTTATATTAATTTTGTTATAAAATTAAATTAGCGGATATCCGGATCGCATCTCTAAATCTGGACGTCCAGTCTTCCAGTGACGGAGATTCAAACTAGTGATATAAATTCGTGATAACCAACAATAACCTATACCATCTAGCTAGGTACGAACCCAAGGCCACCGTTAATCCACGTCCGGTACTCAAACAAGATTTCTTTTTAAAAATTTTTTATGTATGTATGGATTAAATTCAAAATCTTTAATTTATACGTAGTTATCCCTCAATAACGGTAATTGTGATAATCTATCATGTGATCTAACCATTTTTCGCCATAACTAGACTAGCAAATTCTGCATGGTTTTCACGTATGACGATTAAAAAGTGTTCTCGCCCAAGTTTTAAATTCTGCAACATATGGTATAAATTTTAAATTTTTCTTTATAAAAAAATTTATACTTTTTTCTTTACAAAAAAAGTAAAATTTTTTTCTTAACCAAAAATACCATACCTAATTCTGCGATTTCTGCAATATTCCATGCAATGAAGAAAATTATCGTGGTTAAAAAACAAATTTTCGATAATGACTTTACAATAGGTTTAAGCGAAAATTTGTGGAATGAGCTAATTCGAGAAGACTACTATGATTGTAAAAGTTTAATTTTTTTATTATTTTATTTTAGTTGAATTTTACTTATATTAATTATAAATATTCCTTCCGATTTACTTAGATTCTCAAGCTGCAATATGTATCTCAATTAATCAGACTGATCTCGATAAAAAAAATCCATTACTTAAAAAAAAGTCACTTGCCAATTCATCAGTTATTGCATACGGAAAGTGCTATTACCCTGAACATCATGAACTCATATTCAGCGTAAGTTTCCTTATTTATTAATATAACACTTAAGAATTATTTATGCTGAGATGTGCCTTTTCCTTTTCAACAAGGATAATGTTTGTTATATCTCATCAAAGTTTGCTAAACAAAATAATTTCGTTAATGGAGCCGAAGTGGATGTCATTAACGTACGACCAGTTGAATTAGATGAAGTGATAATTGGTGCTTTGGATCACGAATCTTATGAAATATTATTAAGAGGTATGTGATGGCAGTTTTTGATTAGTAGGTAAGAAAATTTTTTGATAGATTAAGATTATGAATAGCTTTTTAATACTATTTCTTTCTGATATGTTTTTTTTTACGATTGACTCTCACCATCGGATTTCACTTACAAATTGTAAGACACTTCCACTATATTTAATTGGTTCCGCTTATCTCCGCCAATTATCATTCGTTATGGTCAAATTTATAGACTTAATAATTTACCTATATCTTTGGATTCTGATTCTTATTTTGGCTTTAAAATTTTGATGTGTGGTCCCGTTTTACAAGGAATTGTTATGGATCATACAAATTTTATTATAACGGACATTTCAAAAGATTACTATTTAAATGACTATGAAGATGATGAGTTTGATGAAGTTACTACAGAATATGCTATTGAAAATGAATTATTAGATCAAGATATATTAGATTTAAAGGATGATTATATGACCACTCAGTTAGCACTTCTTGAAGCTGATGGACAGGATGAATTAGATGGTGATGAATCTGACTATATTTCTTCAGTTACATCATCTGATGATGAAAGTTGGAATAATGTAGTCCCACTTCCAACTAAATCAAAATTCACTCCCGTCATTTTATCGACTCCTTTTCCAAGTAAATTGCTACAACCTGCTCCAAAGGAAAAAGAAGATCCCGAATCAAGAATTCTCATAAGCTTAAAAGAACTTGCAAAGTTGGGTTTTCAAAGCGGAAGTTGGGTGTGTCTTCTTTTTATAAGGTTATCTATAATATTTTTATGTTCATTCATGCCTAATTTATTTTACGTTCAAAGGCTTTGGTATCAGGGCCTAAGATTGAAAAATCTAGGATGTGCAAGGTTTATGCCGTTGATATTCCTATGTCAGCAACGTATGATATTTATGTTCATTATTTATGTTCATTTAAGGATATTTTCTAATTTTATACTTATTGACTATTAACATTAAAATTTTCTAGAGATTCGTTACCACCAGTTTATGTTACACCAATGCTTCATTTCAACCTTGGGTTTGGGGAAATGACAGCATCAGATGAGTGTATATTTATTCAGCCAACCAAACGAACTCAATTGCCACCTCCTGTTACAAGAAGCATTTATGTGGCAAGGGTGGCATCACCATCGTCAACTGATAGATCTATTCACACAGCAAGTATCAATGGACTTAAAAACTGGTTTGAAGAAGCTGATAGAATAGTGTGTGAAGGAGATATCATAACAATACCTACCGATGGTAAGGTACTTTTGTTTACATTATTTATTTTATTTTTTTTCTAACTAATTAGAGCGATTATTTCATTATTTCTTTTTTTTTTTTGCTAAATTTATTAATAGAGGAAGCAGCACGGTTAAGGCCGCAAAAAATTGAAGGTGATATTGAAACGTTAGAAGACATGGATATTGCAACTTCACCAATCAACCCTGGGACTGTAGTATATTTCAAAATTTCAGAGATGAAGCGCAAGAACTCGAAAATATGTTTAAAATATGGGTATGGCATGCGCGTAGATCACAATTGTACTGAAATGGTTCAAACTGGAATGGTGCATTCTAGAGTACCTTTCGTGAAACAGTATTTAAATTATAATACTTCAAGTCGATTAGATTTAAGCCCATTTCTAACCTCGCCAGAAACACCCTATGCTCAACTTTTCAACCTTATTTCATCTTGCCTACATCCAAGTGCCTTGTTACTTAACCTCAGCTGTACCGTTCTTTTACATGGTCCACGTGGCTGTGGTAAAAAGACAGCAGTTGAATGGGTTGCCGAAAGAGTTGGTGTTCATGTCTATGAGGTGAATTGCTTTGACTTTGCAGGCGAGACAGATACGAAAACAGAAACATCTCTTCGTTCAAGACTTGATAAAGCCGTTACTTGTTCTCCTTGTGTGTTATTATTACGTCATATTGATGCACTTGCTAGGAAAAGTGCTGTATTGGAAACTGGCCAGGAGCCTACAATTTCTATTATCTTGCAAGAGTCTTTTAAACAGCTGATTGAAAATTTTCAAACTATTGGATATCCAGTTCTAGTAGTGGGTACAACAGGTGACATTGATAAAGTGCCTTCCAGTGTCATCGGTTGTTTTAGGCACGAAATTATTTTCGAAGCTCCGTCCGAGACAATAAGATTAGAAATTCTAAAACAATTGACATGTGAGACACCTGTCGCACCAGACGTTTCGTTGTCATCATTGGCAACACAAACCGCTGCATTAGTCGCCAATGATTTGGTAGATTTGGTTGCAAGAGCTGGTTTAGCAGCGCTGGAACGTGTAGAAAATGTAATGAAAAAAACAAAACAATCATTAAGAGATATCGATCTAGTTCGTGCAGGAATCGCTCTAACTGCAGTTGATTTTGATGATGCCCTAGGCAAAGCTAGAGCTTCATATTCAGATAGTATCGGCGCCCCAAAGATTCCAAATGTAACATGGGATGATGTTGGAGGCCTTGCATCTGTAAAAGATAATATACTAGATACTATACAGTTACCTCTCGAACACCCAGAGTTGTTCGCTACCGGCATGAAAAAAAGATCAGGAATTTTGCTCTATGGACCACCCGGCACTGGAAAAACACTCCTTGCCAAGGCTGTTGCTACCTCATGTTCTCTCAATTTTTTTTCTGTAAAAGGTCCTGAACTCCTCAACATGTACATCGGAGAATCAGAAGCTAACGTTCGACGCGTTTTTCAACGCGCAAGAGACGCTAAGCCATGTGTAATATTTTTTGATGAACTAGATTCTGTTGCTCCAAAAAGGGGAGAGAAAGGAGACTCTGGTGGTGTAATGGATAGAATTGTTAGTCAACTTTTGGCTGAATTGGATGGAATGGGACAAAGTAGTGGGACAGCGGACGTATTTGTCATTGGTGCAACGAATCGACCAGATTTATTAGACCCAGCACTATTAAGACCTGGACGGTTTGTGTTTTCTATTTCTTGAATCATTTATATGTATATCAATATATTGTATTATAATATCCTCTTTTCATTTTTAGTTTTGATAAATTACTTTATCTAGGAGTGAGTGAAGACCATGAAACACAACTTAATATCATTCAAGCACTTACAAGAAAGTATGAATAATGTTTCAAGTCATGCACACGTTTTTTTATGATCTATAAATTCTTGAATATATATTCCTTATCAGATTCCGTTTACATCCATCATTGGACCTTCGTGCTGTAGCAGAAAAGTGTCCATTTAACTATACTGGCGCAGATTTCTATGCTTTATGTTCTGATGCCATGTTGAAAGCCATGTCAAGAACTGCGAAGGCAGTAGAAGACAAAGTTTGTATGTAAAATTGGCCATTTCTCGACAATTTAATTAATATATACACATATATGTCTTATGGTTATTTATCACTTAATTATTTTATGAATTTTGAATAGCTCAATTGAATTCCAATCCGACGCCCAACCTTCCTCAACCTGTAACATCACAATACTATCTTAATCATATTGCAACATCTGAAGATACTCTTGTAGAAGTCACACAAGAAGATTTTGAAAAAGCTCTACAGGAACTTATACCTTCTGTTTCCGAAAAAGAATTAGAACATTACCGTATGGTGCAAATGCGGTTTACACAACAGGAAGATGTTCAGACTGAACATCTTCCTGTTGTGTAAACCGCATTTGCACCATACGGTAATTTCTAATTCTTTTCGGAAATGAAGGTATAAGTTCCTGTATTACTTAATTTATTACATGTGTGGTCGTTATGCAAATTGCCTTAATTATTACGGGTTTGCACCCTGGATAATTTAAGTATATGCAAGAAAGTTAAGAGATTACTAATTTCAGCTATACTTGATTACCAAGTGTTAATTTTTTTTCTCGAGAAATGTGAATCGGTTTAAAAAATCTTTTTTCATTATTGAAAGCTACTCTTAATATACATTTGGATTCCCGGTCTCGTTCCATTTTATATTTTTTAAAAATGCTTTGATGATGAAACTAGATTGGGCAATCACAGGAAAATGAAATAAGCAGTGGTAATAATGCGCAAAATCAAAAGTGATCGATAATGCTATTATAAAATGCCTGTTCTAAAGAACATATGTTAATAAAAACATTATCATCTCAAATTTGTAAGGGGTAAATTTGCCTGCTAAAAATAAACATGTGAAATTTACAGACAATGATGCCAAGAAAACTTTTAAATTATCATTTGAAAGATTAAAAACACCAATTTACAGGTTTTCACTTGTATTATTGATGTTCTTGATACAGAATAATACATAATACGATGTATAAAATATCACAAAAAAAATAATAAAGGAAATTGTATAATATAAAGAAAGCTGTAGTGTTTTTTTTATGAAAACTTACCTATAAATAATAGGATATTTGATTATTGTCAAAAAAAAAAAAAATTATAATGCAATTCCAATCTTCTATTGGTGGACTGGGTTTGGCATTCTGAAAAAAAAAATGATAGCAATAGCAATAGATATAAGCCAAATGTTTTACTGTAGTTCAGAATTGTTTGGCAGGCCTAAGAGACCTCATAACCATGTTTTTAAGTGTAATTATTGGTCTATTACCGATGAAAGAGATTATATTAAAAAGTTACTAGTTCTAATTTTTTAAAAAAAGTTGATATCAGTTTAATTTCTGATAAAGAATAGCCAATATATATAGATTTTAAAATTTGGTGCATCTTGCACCATGGTACACCCCTAGCTATATCTCAAAATTTTACTAGAATAATCCTGTTGTGCAACTAACAAAAAATATTCCTCTCACAATTTTACCTAACTCTAACCTAAACCCTAACTCTAACTCTAACCCTAACAAATCTTAATTTTAATTAAAATTTGCTATATTTCAAAACACAAATCTTTGGTAATTGCAAACTCTTTAATAATTTCTCCTTATCTTTACAATATTTTTTAAGATTCACAACCAATGCATTCCCTACAACTTCTAAAAATCCAATCTCTATTTTATTTGTATTCACATAAATTCTTAAAATTTGAACCAAGCAATATTTGAGATTTTTGGTCATTTGTCTTATTTCAATGTTTTTTATACAATGTGCTTTCTATTTCTCCACTAGTAAATATAATATTTGATAAACCAAAGTTATATCAGATACAACTACATTAAATCAAAATAATATATAATATAGAGTTTGGTTTTCTTGTAGAGGTACTCAATATACATTTAAAATCTAATCTTGTTTTTAATATTGTCAAATGCCTTGGAAATTATGGAATTAACAAATAATTCTCTATAGACTATCTCTGACATAGTCACATCATGAAGTATAGTCGACTCTTTCTAAATGCATGTTCTCTTTATATGCATGAAAATAGCCTAGTTCCAAGTCAGAACTTATAAAATAAGTGCATGTTCTATATTCTCTAAATGCAGGTTACTTTTCAAATTATATATATAAAAATATTCTCTCTAAATGCATTTTTAATATATAAACCAATCAAACTTGAGAATATTTATTTAGATAATAAAGCAATTAAAATTTATATATTTTATTCTTTTTAATAATAATATAAATAATAATATATAATATAGTAATATAATATTTTATAAAAATTATTATTATAAAAATAATAAATCTTTAAAAATTAATTAATAGAGGTGTGGCAGCTTAGTGAAGTGGTCAAGTTGTCACCCTCTCCAAGTAGCAGGTCTAGGGTTCAAATCCCACGGACGA